TGTGTACCAACAGTTCTAATCAGTCCTCTACTCAAAAGTAGCATAGTACACAACAATGGAAAACTACTGCATTTATATGAGCAGCTATGTATTCAAAAATATATCTGCATACATAGTAGTGAAATGCACAGCAATGTCTGCAACATATCAACTTAAAAATATATCATAAATCTGAAGATGCACAGGCATGGCATCAAGAAAGTTGTAGTTGTGCTTCTACATAATTCTCCCTCCAAAAGTTCTAATGCATGAAGCAAACAGGAGACACCACATCAATCTTAAACATGTTGTCGAATAAAAGGACTACTGCTAGTCTTTGGATCTCAAAGTCAACACTTGACTGACTTTACATAAATACACTTATTCCAAGTTGCTTATTTGGACAAAAGCAGCTGCCAAACAAATGCAGAGTACAGTATTGTCCTCAGAATTAGATAGGTGCAAGATCTAAATACTGAAACTGTAGCTGAAGATGTATCTTTCACACTTACAGAATGTTTGTAGTCAAAAGATATAGTTTGGTTTGATTGCTCCTTGCATCACTTTGTTAATCCTATAAAGTATGCAGTCACCAAAACCTCAGCATTTTATTTTTTATTGTAACATATTGAATATATACCAAAAGCTGAATAACATGTACAGTCACCGAACATTTTATTTATCTGATAGAATGAAGATCAGTCCATCTAAATTTCACTCCCTGTGTTGCTTTTTGTGTTAGGATCATCCCCTATGGTTCCACAACTTCAACATCATCCTCCGAATTATATTCCACCCCACTGGTGGCGATTTCAGGCTGTTCAAGGTTCTCTAAGGGTGCGACAAAGCCAGAGATGCTGGCCTGAGCGACTGCGTCCCCCGGCAGGTAAGCGTAGTGGTGATTCATCACTTCTTCCACAGAAATGCTGGGATTTTGGTATCTGTCGAGAAGAGAATCCTGATATAAACACACAAGCATGTAAACTAAAAAGCGCTCTAGTTAATTTCACAAAGCAAACGTTAAATAACTGTGAATTTTGAGAATCCTTGCACCCTGTTATAGAACCATGTAGCAGCAAACTATCTTGCAAATTAAAAAAAAACAAAAAAAACAAAACTCATAAAATCAAGAATATTTGTGTCCTAAAATCAGATCATTCACTACTGCTGTTCAAAAGAAATCTAAAGAAAACTGTGTTTACGAGTTAATGGTAAAAATGCCAATTCAAAAGTGAATGTTAGGTGTAATTTATAATTCGCAAGAATCAGTTTATTACAGTTGAATGGTGAAATACCATCACAGAAAGCATACTAGACTAGCTGAAACATTTCAATAAAGATGCCAAACCTTGACTGGTGCATCTGGACCCTGGAGTAGAAGCCCACTGGATAATACGCGTCAAAAGATGAGAGTAGATAGCAGCCCACCGTGTTGGGTACCATGATGGGACACTGGTACGCCCACAGGTCCGGTATATTGGACTGAGCTAAATACATGTCTTGTGTGACAAAAGAGGGAATGTTGAAGTCCTGGTACTGTAATGCTTTCTGTTCACCTGCCTCTCCTGCATTCTGCTCTGAAGCGAAATGCTCTGTGCATTTCTTCTTCCTGGGACGGTACATGTAATCTGGAAAGGTAAAAACAAAGAAACAAACAAAAAAACAACCACAGTAAGTAAAAATCATAGGTTTACTGTCTGCACCTGAACATATTTGGACTGACAGTACATCTGCACACAAGGTATAGCAGTAATTGTGCAGGAAATGTTCATCATCTTCTAGCCATAGCTGCTGCCATCTAGCTGTGTTGTTGCTCGTACTAGGGAACCGCTTCCTGTGCATGTCTTTGAGTTTGTCAGCCACTTCATAGTAGGGCCTCTTCTGTTCCTCACTGAGCTTGGACCACTCATTGCCCAGCTGAACACTGCAGTCTGTCATACTGGTATTAGGGCAGGCTTTTTGCAGGGCACGTCGGTGGATGTGAGCCCAAACCATGAAGGCATTCATCGGCCGTTTAATGTGTCCTTTCATGTCTAGGACAGGCAGCATTTGCTTCAGATCTGTGGAAGAAATTTAGAGTCTGATTGTTTTTTTTTGCAGTTTTTTTTTGCAGTTTTAGGGAAACATCTGCACTGTGCATTACTGATTATTTCCATAAAGATGTTCAGTATGTGCTAGACACTTGTCACTGATCTATAGAACCCAATGTTCACCAGTTCACGGAGTATAATGGGTGATGAAATAAAATTTAAAAAAAATACAGATGCTAATTCAAACTAAGCTTACTAAGTAAAAAGGCACGATGAAAAAAATGATACAACAAAGATGTAGCTTTCTAAGTAAAAACATTTGAGCTAGTAAACCCAAATTCTGAATATCTTTAATGTTGACTTTGGATTAAAATCTTTACCATGTGATATGTAACAACTCAAGACATCTGAGATATGATCCTGACTACACATTGACTTTTTTGTAATACGTCAGAAGCCAGAAAGGTTGGAGACCACAGGTTTAATCTCAATGTGTTTTATTTTAAAATCTTATACTACTAATTGTGTAAAATCTTCATCTTAAAGGTAACAAAAGCTGGCAAAGCAAAATATTTCTCTCTGGAATGTAGAGGAATAAAATCGAAAATATTCATGTAAAGTCAAAATTTGTAATTAAGCCCAGTACTTGAGTAAATGTACTTACACCCCTGATCAATATGAACTTTAATCAGCCTCCATGCTATCTGTCTTATTGTCTTTCAAACCTCCAAATTTTCACATAGTATTAGAATTTTGATTCTGTTACTTAGAATTCTGATATTTTTTTGACCCTAACAATAACCATAACTGTGACACAATAAGATTCTATTCATTAAAAAACAAACAAACAAACAAACAAACAAAAAACACTTAATTCTTATAAAGTACATTATTATTTTTTAACTTTCCATAATAAATAAATACATAAATAAATCTTTACACATTTGATCTTCATAGAAATCCCTTTACCTTCTTCTGTAGGCGGGATGGTAAAACTGATGACTGGACCTTCTCCTCCTGGCCTGGGTGAGGTTTGGGTGAGGTGGGCTGGATCTGGGTTCAGAGATTGTCCAGCTGCAGGGTTTTTGGGTAATTCAGCGTCTGGGTGAGCAGAAACGGGATAATTTATTTACCAGAGGACGGGAAGTTGCTGCTTCTGCTGCTGCTGCTGCTGGACACGGAGGCTCTCTGACCGTTTCTGACCTCACATGACCCCGCCGTCACTGTGGCGACCCACCTCCGCTGCTACCAGCTGAAAAGCAGGTGGTTTGTTAAAACCAAAAAATGTCGATGGCATTTCATAATAAAACTTACTTGCTTTAACCAAGGCTGCGTCTTTATTTCTGCGAGTCTTGGTCCTACTTTCTGTCTCGTCCAGCGGCCGAGGTCCGTCCCCGGTTTGGGCGAGCAGAGCGGCGGGACTCTCCGGCTCCTTCTGTCCCGGGCCTCTGCTCGTAGTAGCGGATGTACCTGCTCGAACCGTCGCTGGTTTTCTTTTCTTGTGTCGCCTTCCCATTGTGGTGACTATCGATGTAGTATTTTTTATTTTTTAAAGCGTCCGTATTGTTTGAATGTTGTTTTAACTGAATTGTGATAAATTCCAAAGAGTTGGTTGCCCTGACAACAAGAACGTTTTGTACCACGTGGTCTAAAGGCTCCAGTCAATAAAGTTTTATGACACAAAATAATGTTTTTTAGACTTTTTCTGCCACTGATTGAACAGGTAAAAGTGGGTCATGGAGTAAATTTAAAAAATATTAAGACCAGTGACATGGGGCAGGGGAAGTAAAAAAATAGAACGATAAAATAAATTAAATGGTTATATTTATCCAGTGATATGTACTATGAAGTATTTATTTTTTCATTGAGCATCACCAATTTTGATGATTTTTGAAATTCAAAATCGCTAAATTTTCGCAGTGTCCCATTCAAATGCTTGGAAGAGACGCCGGTGAGGCAGCGGCGAGCTGAGCCTCACTTGGATTGCGCAATCCCTCACTGCGCAGGCTGCCTGCAGTGACAGCGTGCTGCTGTCTGTATGTCGCCAATAACACGGTTCAAACACATTTAGAACTTCAGAACTGATTTTCCATAGTTTAGCTGATGTATATAATAATGTACAGTGTTTCTTGTTCCCAACTGTATGTGTGTAACGTGTTTCGTGTGCTGAGGTGAGGCAGGCAGTTTTCTGGCCTCATGGCAGGGGGCGCTCTGATCCCAGACAGGCTTCTTGTGACTCCGCGGCTGCAGAGTAGTGTCAGCAAGCTAGGTGCAATCTACAATACGCAAGTCAAGTGCAGCGAAGGAAGATAAGGAGACTTTTTTTGTCCAGAAGGAGCGGAGCATGGACTTCATTTATAAGTAAAGGTAAGACCGCAATCACCTTTTTTTATTTTTAAATGAAATGTGCGTTTTGTGGGCTATAGCTTGTATGTATAAAGGATGCAGATATGAAACATAACCCGTAAACTGCTGCCAATCAAATGGCAAATATGCTCCTGTGTAGAGTGCATATATTTGTAAATGTGATTCTGTTGAAGTCAGTGCCTCACCAGCCATGAACCTCACCGCACGTCACTGATTAAGACTCCCTACCAACCAATGTACAGCCAATATCCAATAATAACTTAGTGAAAACTGTATTTATTTATTTAAACTATTGCAAATTTATTAAAAACAAAAAAGGAAATCTCTTATTTCAAGAACAAGTCAGAATTTAGTCTGATGCCTACTTTTAAATCTACAGCTCAAAGGCTCGCCCTGTTTCTTGAATTCTTTAAAATAAAATCAAACCTACAGTTTTACATCAAATGGTCAATCTTTTTTTTTTTTTTTTTTAGAGAAAAACCTGATCATTTAGAATAGTTTGTCATTTTATTAAAACAGTCATTAGGCAGCCCAGCTGTCCAGGATCAAATGTAAATGCAAATATGAAAAAAACTATGACGATACATTAGCTGATAAAGAGAGAAAAAAAGAGGAAACTGAATGTTCAATGTTATAATTTAATTTAATGTTGAATGAAGTACAGAAAATATAGAGTACAATCAAATCAAATGATCTGTACTGGAAAAAAAAAAACAAAACCAAAAAAAAAAAAAACATGATTCCAGTCAACTAAGTTATGTTAGCAGTAGCTCTCTCATATGAACATAACCTTACAAGTAAACTAATAAAATATTAAACTAATAGCTATGGAATTATCCTTCTGAGAGTAACAAAATAAAGATTTGGTCATTTGGAGTGCAGTTCCTCAGAAAATGACAAGAGGCTCTGCTTAGCTGTGTTTGCACATCAAACAGAGAAAACTATACCCATACACAAAGTCACTCACACTCAGTCACTCATTTCTCACACAAATTTTCACTCAAGAACCCAAAACCCTTTAGATTGGTCTCAGCTAGCCATAGAAATCATTTACGAAAACTCAGCTAATGAAATTCCTCCAGTGTGTTTAATCCATGTCAAATGTAGGGGAGGTTGTTTTCTAAAACATGGTTTGTGAGGTGCAGGTGTGTAACCCTTAGATACAGAGACCACCAAGTGAGCTGCAAGGTGAAAAATGTTTGCTGGCAAAAATACTTTGTTAAAGGTATGTTGCTGGGTTGTCCCAAAAATTCTGTAACTGCTGTGAACATAAAGGAAATTTAGAGGATTGTGTTATTTTGTTTTGTGGACGTTGACCCTTTTTTCCTACATCCAGTAGGAAAATACCTACAGTATTCTGTACTTTGATCCATAAGCACTGTCCATATGCAAAAACAGAAGAAACATAGTAGATCCATGTGGGTCAGAATGCAGCGCTTATCTAAAGTGAAATGTCCTATGACAGCTTGTCTGAAGTGACACAATGACATTATTAGAAAATAATCAGTGGATAGTACTCTGAATAAAATACTGACTGACCCTTTAATCAGGCATTATTCCTGCAAATGCATCCAAAATGTCGAGGGCAAACATCACTTTTTAACAGTAACAGTTTCTTTTGTTATAGAAAGACCCCAACAGTATTTTAGGTGCACTTATTAATGTTGTATTTTAACATTAACAAAAGGTTTAGTTGAACAACTGAGCATCCATCCGTTGTGAACTGCTATAAATGAAAAGAGAAGAGGGGAAACTAAGATGCAAAATAAGTAGTATGCAATTCATCCACCCTAATATGGCTCAAGAGTAAGTGTGACCATCAAGTGTTTTCTCAACACTTAGACTTGTTCTGCCCTCTGCTGGAGGACCAGTATGGATTCTCTATACTCCATGTGCACAAGGAGAAAGGAATATTAACCCACCCGACAATAACGGAATGGCTTAAATTTTGTGACTGGATTTGGTTGTAATCACATAAAACATAATATCTCAGGCTACAATGCAAAATTAAGGCAGCAATGCCATTTTTCTTTAAGTCCACTGTACTGATTGAATTCTCTGTGCAGTGCAGAGAAAAACCTTTCGCAGTGATTTTTTGTAATGAAAGGGGATATACTTTAGTTCAGATATAAAACAGGTAAAGATGAGGATTTTATTTCCGCACAGCGAAGTAATGACTAAAGGCTGTGTGTTGACACCTTTCAGTGTCCTCAGTGTGACATCATTTCACACATCAAATAACCACTGGGTGAGGGGCACCAGGGGGTGCTTTCCCCTACCTCCAGGATCACGTCAGTAGACTGAGACGGTGAACCATCGCTGGTGCCGGCTCACCAAAGAGAGCAGAAGCAGAGAGCGAAACATGCAAGGTTGTCTTCAAGTACAGCAGTCCTTCTGTGGTTCACACTCTCATGTCAGACGTGCACACACACACACAAACAAACACGCACACACATTTGCAAACCTTCATTTTCCAAAATTGCCAAAGTTAGCGAAGGCATCTTGTTTGGGTGGGACCACGGCTGGAGTGATGGAGTGTGTCAGGCCCATCCCTACTCCTGGCACCGACATGCCAGCCATACTGCCCATCATCATTGGAGTGGCCATGCCCATATTCATGCTCATGTTCATTCCCATCATGCCTTGGTTCACAGGAATTCCCCCCTGTAAACCTGTAGACATTGAAGGTGGCATACTCGCAGCCATGGAAGCAGGCATTCCGGTTGCCATCGATGCAGGCATGCTCATCGTCATGGCATTGCCTGCCATCATAGGATTGGCTGGTGGTCTTATGGGTGTTGCATGGGGCGGAGAGCTGAGGTTCAGTCCTCCAAAATTCTGGGCCAACAGATTGACGGGAGGCACTCCTGCACAGACACATATGGGCAGAGACTGAATCAACTTTCTCCACAGAGTCAGAAAGAACTTCATTCAGCAACAAGAAGAACAAGAAGAACAAGAAGTTGCGCAACAGACGCTATGGCTCCCCTAGAGCCATAGCCAACATCATAGTGTGGGATTTAATGAAGCAACAGAAGCAGCTGAATCCACAGAAGTTATATGTCAAGTTTTCCAAATTATTCATAACAACCTACATGCCAACTAAGTTTGAGCAAGTGTATCTGAAAGAACTGGTGCAAAGAGCAAAGGGTGATCACACCAAATGCTGATTCAATATTTGTACAAAGTTAACACTGAGTAATAACTACTTACAGCCTTTATTTATTTTTTTTGGACAGTACTGTATATTCAAAAGGCTTTTTGACGTTGCCATAACCTACAGAATATGTAAAAGTGTTAATTAAAATCCTTATTTCTTCCCCACTGTAGCAAAACCCATAATTATCACATCCACATGCTCTATGATCCACACAGAAAAGGAGTATACCTTGCTGTTGGATGATGTTGTTGAGTGTGGGTGGTGTCTTAGTGGGGTTGAGTCCTGCTGAAAGAAAATCCAGGCTGATGTTGACGGAGGGGTCAGACCAAGTCGACCCTAGTGATCCCTGACTTCCGACGCCAACCTTCTGCTGTTGTCCTATGGGCTGCTGGGATGGCATGCCTCCCAAACTCTGAAACAGATATTTTTCTGTGATGAATACATAAATATTATAGTGATGTCAAAGTTCAAACTGAATTTGGAAAATATGAGTAGGAGCATCATATGCAGAAAAACAACATACTGCCAAGAACCATGGTATATTCTAAAATTCTTATCCCAAAAGCAAAAACGGATGTCAAGAATGTTCTGGGTTATTCATTCTGGGGAATTCCTTATCAACAATTTTCTATTTTTTTTGTATAGTTTGAAACAAATAAGACCTTCCTGTCATGCGTACCACACCTACCTGTTGAGAGCGAGAAAGGGGCATGGTGGGTAGAGCAACAGATGCTCCTGGTGTCACTCCTCCCAGAGAGAAAGTCATGCTCTGAGAGGCACTGAGTGTTGTATGCGGATTGTTTAGTTGATGGTTAACTCCACCCATCAGGTCGAAGAGCTCAGCAGAAGGAGGGACAGTCGCAGGATTAGAGGTTGGGGCCGTGGGTGACTGGACACTGCCAAACAGGTCAGTGACGGGCTGGGAGGGACCAGAACTAGACGACACTGGAGGATTGGCCGAAAAGGCATTCCAGTCCCCGAATTCTCCATTTCCATTGGATGACGGAGCAGCTGGCCAAAAAACAGTAGTGGTGGGTTTAGTTGTGATTGCAGCTCCACTCCTTCAAGGCTTTTTTTTTTTTTTCAAATAAACTTAGATTTGTTTTCTAAAAGTCCACTATAAAAAAATCTACATATACTCTGAGAGTGTACATTAGCCATATGAAACAAACACTGAGGTTTACAACAGGAGGAGCTGAGAGAGGGAGGTTTACCAGTGGAGGTGGGGAGGCTGGCAGAGGCTGCAGGAGAGGAGAAGTCAGCAAAGCCACCAATGAGGTCTGAATTGCCACCTGGATGGATGGATGCAAATGGATTCGTACAAAAAGGACACAAAACTTTTTTGTCTAACAAAAATTGACAAAAAGCTGTTTGTAGTTACCCGTTGTAGTGCTCTGATTGGATGAAGGGTCAATCACGAGCAGGTCAGCTAGACCACTGCTGGAAGACTGCCTGATTGATGACTGAGGAGAGCAGAGAGATGCAGTGATTAAACATGTCCATACACTGAAATTGTGAGTGGCATTACCGAAAGAGTGTGTGTGAATACCTTCTCCTCTGGGCTCTTGTCTCCAGTGTAGTGGGCTGCAGCGCCCAGGTCCAGAGTCTTGCTGCTGGTTGCTCCGCTGCGTTTCCGTGTTGTGGTGGTCGTGGTTTCTGTTGCTTGTGTGATCTGGATGCTCTTGGTTGTGACAGTTTCCTCCTCATCTTTGAACTCCAGGGCTTCCTGCCTACCGTTTCTCGATGCTCGGTCCTCCTCATTGTCACTATGGCAACCAGATGAAGGATATATAAGCACTCAGGAGATTTTGCTGTTATTCTGTTGCTATGCTACTATTGTATGTATATGTGCATGATCTTTGTATATTATTGTTTGGTTATGTGATGTATAATCTGAGAACCAGCGGTTTAAACATTTTCGACCAATGCTGAAAGTTGTCTCATATACAGTGAGTGGGTGGTTCTTTGCATTGTGTGTTTTTTTTGGTTGATTCTGAGTAGCCAATAAGCTACTTCAGAACACACCCCAAGAACATTTTAAAACAAGCATTCACTCAGACCGTGGTAGACACAGAGACAAATGTTTACCTGATTCTGTCAGGTGAGTCATCACGTTCCTTCTTTCTGAACTTGTTGAGTGTGTCATCGATGGTGCTGCCTATCTTATCACTGATTTCTCCAAGCTTCTCACTAAAGGGGAAGGCTCCTCTGCTTTTATCCCAGTCCTCATCCCACTTGCTCCGATCCAACTCATTAGCTGGAAGGAAGAAGACAGAAAAGGAGATGAAAAAGAGATTTCAGTTCTGCATGAATCAACTAAAGGACACACAATATATAATCTTTCACAACAATCTTTCTATCTGTCATAAATATAGCAGGAGGGCAATAATAGGAATTATTGTTTTCCCTGATTAAGTCCCAGATCAAAGGATATATAATTAAAAAATATAAATGTCAAAAAAGATTTTATAAAAGCATAAAACTAATTAAAAAAAAAAAAAAAATACAAGCAAACAGGCAGAGAAGAATTGACTACAGTGTTGGTTTCCACTAAGAGTGTCAATCTTAACGGTTTCAGCCCTGGTTAATTGGTGACACTTGAAGTAAATGGTGGTTTAATACTACACAGAACACTGGTTTGTTCAGAAAAACTAACTAAGACTTTAGGCAAAAATTTACCCTTTTACATCATTCTGTGAGCAGCTGTGACTTGATTTTAGGTAGCATGTAACGAGTCTTTAAGAATGTGATAGTGGAAGTAGAAATATTGCCTAAACAGTCACATCATTTTTTTTGCCATTTTGATAAACAGATGTTAAAGCCATTCATCAATTCGAACCACTGAACATTTTCTGGTTAGAAACACAAAAATGATCTTATGATGCATCTGAAATCACTGAATTGTACGGAATACTCTCCCCATAGCACCTTTCCATCTTTCAGGCAATCACATTTATGTAATTTATGTTTATTTTAACGTGCTTGTTAATCAAGGCAATTAGGGCCAATATTTTTAAAGCCCATTCAAAAAGTCTCATGATGGCTTTACAAAATAACCTTGTACAAGTCTTCATAGGGAAAGTTCTATTATTATTTTAATCCACATTAAAAAAGAAAAATGCAGCGAATTACTTACAGTTCTTAAAGCTGCCCCCTCCTCCACCCATACTGTCAGAAGAGACACCAATGTATTTATCTTTGTTCTTCTTGGCTTTCTTCCTTTCCTCTCTTAATCTGTCATCGTCCTGGATGAACTCCACCATCTCTTTCACCTTCTGACGCACATTGATACCCTGATCCTTACCATTCTCATCTGGACACAGACACAAGTACAAAAAAAAAACAAAACACACACACTCAAAGATTGAAAACTAAAATAGGAGGACTACCAGCCACACTGCAATGACATTTTTATGTGGACACTAATTTTGGTGACACCCCGACCTTTTATTCAGTATTACCCATTCTGGTCAATGGCAAAATGTCAGAAACACTAAACGTTTGATATTCCATTCATGGTGTAGACAGAATGAATCCTTTCAAATCTGAACACACTGTGCTCTTTCTGGTCGTGTCTAATTTCAAATGCCACCACACAAAATATCTGAAATATACAGGGAAGTGGAGAAGAATGAAAAGAGCTTCACCAATGTGGAGGTGTGTATTTTTCATTCAGAGACTCACCAATGAAGTGGTAGTTTTCTAGAGATCGCAGGTCGTAGATGTGTTCTCTGGCACTGGTGACGACTCTTTCAGAGCCATTTCTGATCAGATAGGCCAACAGGAGCAAGGCCTGGGAGAGAGAGATGGAGATATGAGAGATAACAAGAGATGTTGATGTTGTGCAGCCAGCATCGCCCATTGCGAAATAATTTGTCCTAAATTAAACATTTTTTTCTTCTGACAGTTTTCCTGCCCTGAGTCATCCCTCCTCCTTAACTCAGTACAACTGCTCTCTAAAAAATTTAAACTAACTTTTCCTTGGCTCATGCATAATATCTTTGCAGTCAGTCTGACATAATTATTTGGGCATTACACAAGAATGCAGTTATGTTGCATTGCTCTGTCTTTGCAGTATACAGGATCACATACGTTATACATGGAATCAACAAGGACAATACAGTAGACTATAAAACAAACATACTACTCCTGAAATTCCCTGTACAAACAGTTGACAAAAAAACAGCAAACCAGTTTAACTGTAGTTTTAAAAAAAACAAACTGCTGACTAAAAAACAAATAAAAATTCAAAAAGCCATAAGTGCCTTGATCCAGTCACTTGCGAAAACACTGAAAGCCATGTGTACGTCTGCCCACAGGTGCAAAGAAACACTCACCAAACATTGACCCCAACACAACACAAATACAACACATACACCGATGAGAACCAACTAACCAACCTCTTAACCAGAGCACTAATGTACCTTGTAAACTCGTCTCCAGTTCTTCTTGTTGTCCTTCAGCATCCTGGTCCACAACATGTTCATCACCTCAGGGAACTGCTCGTACATAAAGGTAGATCTGCACATACAAGCACATACAATAAAAGCATTATAATGCTGAAAACGACTCACGCAGAAAAGCAACGCAGAATCAGTTCTAGAGAGGAGAGCCTGTGGATAATTATCCTTACTTGTTTACAAACCCTGTCTCCTAGCCATTATGTTCTAATACAACTAAACTGCACTCTCGCTAGTTTTTGAAGAATACCGTTTTTTTCCCAGATTACATTTGTTTGCACAAATCTGTGACAATTTATTTATTTTTTTGCTTTCCAGCAGTTGCTCCTTTTTAGCCAACAAATCATACATTAGATGGGGTGGGACTTGTCACTCTGGCAACTAAGCAAAAGGAGGAGAAGCTCCAAACATAACCAAGTTGTTCTGGTGTCTAAACTTAAACAAAAACGACTGAGAATGAAAGCAAGTGAATGAAAACAGAAGTCAAGCCAAAGAAACATGTTCGCACATGGGACACAAACCCAAGTTTTCTTGATGAAGGTCCTGTGTCTGACTTCTGCCACTACCTCATCTCCATCCTTCAACCTTACCTACTTTAGTTGTATAGCAACGATTCTATTGCAGATAGAATTGTGTTTACACATTACATTACATGCCACAACACAGTTTATCTATGACTTTATTAGTAATAATATGCATGCATTCAGTGCATATACAGTAACCGTATGTGTGTTTGAGACTTACTTTGCTATCTCTCCCATTAGCTGCCCAGAGGGTCCCCAGGGGTCGTCATTGGTGGCCTCTCTCACCTTGGACTCAATCTCTGAGTAGTTCATCACCACATTGGTGCTGTTGACACAGACATGTATTTTCACTCGTATCGTCATCAATATTCCTGCAGAGCTTAAATACATTGACTCTCCTTAACTGTTAATTGTGACCACTGTTATTGTTATTGTCGGTCTTTTAGTCAGTTGGCCTTTCTGCAAATGCTCTGTGCTGATTCACACTCCACTCATCACATTCCCAGAGCACAGTCGGACCGAAAGGCATACAGTTAAAAATGCACACAGACATATTTACACAGAACATCAGAAAAAGGCGGAGAGGTCAGCTATTAAATGACATTTTTGGGGGGTTGCTATCAGAGTGACATTCTCATATATAACTTTTACCCACACACTCGACACTTTACTGACTTACTGCTACACATGGCAACACCTCACAGATGTCTCTCACATCACACACACCGAAGCTGAGATTAACTGTGAAAAACAGGATCATCACAACAAATAACTCAATTCAATCACGTATAATAGACACAACAGAGTAAAGAAGAATGAGAGAAAAGAAATGTTTCTTTTATGACAAGGAGAATCTCAGTTCACTGAATAATGAATGCCCTTTGTAAAAGCCTGCGTGTCGACCACTGCCCTTCAGAGGACAGACATGCATGTTTGGACACACATACACAAGCCGTTTGGCGCACAATAGGAGACGAGACTGTGTGCATGAAAGTGAGGTGAACGGGGAGCGTTTATCCCTCTGTGTATGTGTGTGTGTGTGTGTGTGCGCGCATGAGGGGAAGAGGTAAACACAGCCAAACCTCCCCATAAGCAATGTCGGCTTGCTTCCTGCCCTCTTTGTGTTTGTGGGCTCACCTGCTGCTGTGTTTGTTTTCCTGTGGGTGTGTGTTGCATCTCTTGATGGGCATGGCTAGCTCTTCAGACAGCTGGCAAAACAACACAGCAAAGCACTGCAACTTGAGGCGCTCTTCCTCTCCTCTCTGCCATATTCCGTCTTATCTTCTGTGCCTTCTTCGATTTTTCAGTCTCACTCACTTCATTTTCTAACATGTTTTATCTCGCTTCTGCCGACCCTTAATCCTCTCAATACTCCTTTATTCTTTAGCAGTTGCTTTCTATTCATACTTTTCCTCTCTATCTCTCTCTCCTCTGAGCTTGGACGCCCTCCCAGCTAGAGGGAAATGAGAAGCATGTGGACTTTACAGCGGCTGTCTTTGACTGTGTTATTATCAGTGGATATGATGCAGACAGACAGCAAGAGCTGTATATCAGTACGACTCTTTATCTGCTGGAAAAGAAAGGCCACCACTGCCAGCTCTGTTGAGGGAGATCAATAATAGAGTGTTTTCATCATGCCCAGCCAGGCACAACCAACAGCTGATAGGAGCTGTTGCCTATTACTCCATCTACTATGCTGTCTATGATACCTTTTTTTTCTTCTTCTTCTAAATCTCTTTTCTTTGGTCGTTTTAGCTAGCTATTTGTTATGATACTTCGTCCTTTCCCTTATCACACTCATGATATAAGTGGTCCACTAAAAGGTTTAGTTAACTGTGAGCAGATAGCCAAAGTGGACAATATACTATCTTACTATAACCTTGTTTAGATAATGGTTTTGTTTGTAGGACTGAAGGTGAAAAACTATGATGTTGGAGGCAGAGAAAAGGACCTGACAAGCACTTTGTCTTTGAGAATCAATGTCAGTCACTTTGTCAGTTCATTATTTACACCTAGCTAAAACTAATGCACACCTATACAACATCCATCCATTATCTATACACCGCTTAATCGTCGCTAGGGTCGCTGGGGGGTTGAAGTCTATCCCAGCCGACTTAGGGCAAAGGCAAGGGACACCCTGGACAGGTCGCCAGTCTATCGCAGGGCTACACTTAGAGACAGACAACTAAGCACACTCACATTCACACTTACGGACAATTTAGAATCACCAATTAACCTCAACATGTTTTTGGACCGTGTGGGAAAGAAGTCGGAGAAAATCCACGCTGCACGGGGAGAACATGCAAACTCCATGCAGAAAGATCCCGGGTGTCCTCACCAGGAGGACAACGGTGCGAGGCAACGGTGCTAACAACCGTGCCACCTTGCAGCCCACCTATGCAACAGATCAACTATAAATCCTACTTTCATGAAGGCTAAAATAATCCATTTTGTCATTGTGGTACACTTGATTTGTATTGTAGGACAAGAGACTGCTGCCATTACCACAGAGTTGAATTAATACCTCTCTCATACATCCAACATAAACTGAGCATCATAAGCTGCATGAAGGTAGGATTTATGGCTGGCCTCTTGAATCCAACTGCCTTGGTTATAGTTAGGCATACTTAACAAACTGGAAGCTGCTTATATATAATCACCATTATCTATGTTTAGGAAAAAAACAGGCCAAAATGAGTGATTGCATCAAAAATAAAGACGCTCTTACTATGACAAAGAGCGCTGAACACTTAATGGATTTTGAATCAAAATTGCAATTTGAAACAATGCAATTTGAAAATTGCAAAAGGCAGCAATTCAGGATATATATTATGCAGCTCATTGAACCCAGGGTTTAAAGTGTCGTGTCAACGGTTTTCTGCGACAGTCACGCTCGTGGTAATGCTCTATTACGTTTTAAATCTCTGACGCAGTGAATATTGAAATGGATTTTCAAGGAAATCAAATCACAATTGGAAAATCTGTCAGAAAAATCGCAGTTTGCTGTTTTCCACAAATCGTTCCGCTCTAGTATGGCACAACCCTACTTGTTACCGTGCAGTGTTTTTATTTTCATTAAACATATTATTTACATGTTATTACACTTAAAATGCTTAAAATTTAAACTGCCTGTAATTAGCGACTAAAGTCAGCATTTAGGATGAATATATAAAAAGTTACTTTGTGACAGCAGAAGCACCACCATGGACATACTGATAGGACAGTTTTTTTTTTTTTTGCCACTCAATGATTTAACATCAGACAAAAATAACTACTTCAATGTCTATACTAAGCTGTTATACGCATGTCTCTTAACAAGTCTGAACTGAACTATCACTAAGATCTGTTGAGCAGTTCAATCTCATGCTTTTAAATAAGGCAGTTAGTCGTATTATTGTTCTGTGAAACATATGACAGTGTCCTTTGCAAAGCTACTTTACAAATGTATGCATGTGCAGACAGCAGCATTCTCTTCACTGCAAGTTGCATCTTCAACTGACTTAACCTACTTCTAGTTTGAAGAAGTAGGTTATCTTATCTTGACTAACTCAGCTGGGTGAAAACCAAGAATGAATCCTCTGCATTGCTGCATCTTGGAAATTTGAGGTTTTCTAGGTTTTACTCAGCAGAGACAAGGCATGTAGCTCAGTTTGGCTACAGGGACAGACAGGGCAAGAATGTGTTGTTACAGTTCAATGACCGTATACTGCGCATTGTACATGCAACAATAGACACCACAAAGACACACACCACAAAGAAGCACGCGTAGTCCAGTCCTCAGACAAACAACACGATGTAGTGGGCTGCAACACCAGCATGAGCTACTACAATGTGCTCTGTTGGGAGGCTAACAAGCTCTGTTGTTCGGGACCACGGGGGTACGGGCCTCGGTAGACCGGTTTAGCTACTGAGAGAGATGGTTGGTAGCTAATTGGCAAAACATTTACCTCTCTCCTACAATTATTTGACCACTTATCTCCCCACCAGGGACGCCTAGTCTTGTTATAGCATGGGTGCAATGTTAGATGAGTGCACAGTGGAGGTAGCGGGCATCACCGGGGTGGGACAGGGCGTGATTCTGCAGCAGCACCCACAGAAACAGTACACACACAACATACCCGACCTGGGCTTAGCAATGCTAGCGGAATTAGCTAACTGGATAGCATTGCTTCTGGATGAAAAACAAATACATTAATAGTTTGTGATGTTGTTTTTTCCTGGTCTAATTTATATGAAACGCCGTGAACGTGGACACAACAGCAGATGCCACTGCAAAACAGACATTTTTTTTATTTATGTCACAAGGTTAAAGGTTGGCAGCTAGCCAGCTAGTCGGAGCTAACAGCTGAGGGCTATCGCTGTGACGTCACGGCCCTGTCCCTCCGCTGTCAGCGGTAAAAGCTGCTGATGCTGCCCGCCCGGAGCCGCCGAGCAAGCCGGTTAGCTCACAAGCCACTTAGCGGTTTAGCTCCAGCTAGCGCTCGAAGCTCCACCTGCGCTCGGTACTCACGCTTTGTCCACCAGCTCTCTGACTTTCCACATATTCAGCATCTCCGCACGGTGCTGCGGGCTCGCCGCCTCGATACTGCGTCGCCCCCGTGTCTCTACGCCCCGCAAGCCAGAGGTGGTGTCCGGTTACCGACGACAATCCCCCCGCTCCGTGATGAGCTCCGTAGTACAGCAGCCGCTGCGGTTAACGGACCGGCCCCAGTTGCTACGGAAACGTCGTTCTCTGTCGACGTCACTGACGCGTGGTGATGTACGCTGGCTCGCGAATTGGATCATGTCAATTTTTTACGACAAAACTAAAGAGGCAGAGAAGACAAAACAACCTCACTCGATTCCTGTTGTTGTTTATGCAGTGCTTTGCTCAAGGACACTTCAGCGCAATGCAGCATTTGTGTTCTCCGAGAGCTATACTCTAGTAGTTCCATTTTTACGTTAAACTTATTACATATTCACACTTTCATTATTTTTTAAATGAAAAATGACTCACGTGGCCGTATATTTAAAAGTACTCTTCTTGTGGGAAAAAAAAACACAAATTATGATTTGGATTAATATTATTATTATTTAAAAAACAAACAAAAAACAGACACACACTGAACAAAATATAAACGCAGCATGCAAATATTCTTCCTTTTTGATTTTGATAAAAAGTAAAAAAAACAAAACAAAACAGTTCGATTGCTATGTTTACAAATGCATGAACTTTTGCCAACTGTGCACAAAAAGTTTTTGAGTTGTTTCCACAATTACGTCAGGTGAAGCTTTAAAAGGACAATGATCAGGCAGTGTGACCAGAACACAGACACTCACTCCTTTGGCCAGTCACTGTAAAAGGCCACCCTAAAATATAGCTTTATTCAAATGATGCAATGCAAAATTCTGAATTTATTTTAAATTCTAGGTATAAAAGTACATGTTTTATAGTACAATTTTGATACATTGACATTCAATCCTGCGTAAGTTTGGGAAGCTTACTCCTTCTTACTGTTAACATCACGTCCTTTTAGCAAATGGTTTATTGGTGCGTTTTTAGTTGGTCATTTTGCATGTTCTCTTCCCTTTGTATGACAGATTTAACCTGGATATTATCCTATTTTGAAACATGGATGAGGCTGTCATGGCTTCAGTGGGATATTTCACATATTGTTGAAAAAAACAAAAAAAACTGTATCGTGTCAGTTGTTCTATGTTTGCAAATTACAGGTTGTTCAACAAAAAGGCTTTTAGCAAAACTTGTGATGTAATACATATGTTTCCAGTTTTTCAGGGGTGGATTGCATGCAGTGCAAGTTTTTGCAACTCCTCAACCTGATGTCAATAGATTCTTCTAAACAAAATATTGTTTGGGGCGCCCCTATAGCTCACCTGGTTGAGCAGGCAACCCATGAACAGGAACTGTAGCTCCCCGATGCAGTGGTTGTGAGTTCGACTCCCACTCATGACAGTTTGCTGTAGGTCTTCTCCCCCCTTTCCTGTCTCACTGTCCTAACTAATAAATGCAAGAAAAAATAGTCTTTAAAAAAACAAAATGTTGCCCTCATCATAGAATGGATGCACACTGATGGTGAGATGGCATATGAGTTTTCTGTACAGACCAACCCTGATGAATTACACTGTTTTGTTGATTGTGTTGTTCAGATATCTGAAGAATTTAATCAGATTGCCAACAAAGATCTCCAGGGAACATCAAGTGCATCCCTTGATGAATATGAGCCTGGTCTACTGAGACTGCATTGGGCTGGGAAGGGAACCTTTGGTCTGAGGATGGAAAAACTCCTGAAGAAGTTTGATGAACAGGCAAAGGAATTGTTTGAAGCTAAAACCATCTAGAAGTTTAATAAAAATGGCCAATCTTCACTTTGACCAACAAACCTTGAGCACTTGCTGTGTTAAGCAGACATTTGTCCCTGACTAAAACAGCGAGATCCCCTTCATCTGCATTTTTAGAAGAGTGTGAATATACTTTTCTCTCTACAGAAGCACAGAAAACAGCAGTCATTTTCATACATTTTGGTTTATCAGTTACCTTGTAAACTTTATAGAACTTACTCTGGCAATACTGTTACAGACTGTCAGAAATGATGCATTCTCCTTCATAAGATAAAATTGAACCAATTCAGTTACATTGCATCGGGCGGTAATATACAGTATGCACTGAAGTGTTTTATGATTAGAAATAAATACCATAGGATGTTTATGGTTTATTGTAAAGATTTAGAATGTTTAAGTTATATGGCAACATGGAAAGTCACAGTTTAGTTTTCACACAGGTTAGCCTTTTTATAACAGAAAAGACGTGTTGACCTCTACATGCCAAATTGTATTTATGATTTAACAGACTGTAATCAGGCCATGTTTCTCACACTAAGTCCGTTCTTTCCCATCATAAATCACACAGTATTATACTTACTTTAATGCTAATCTCACAAGGATCCATGCATTTTTTACTCTCACAGCCTTGATTCAGCAGATCTCTGATGGCCAATGATAAAACCTTGACTATTTAAGAAAGTCCAGTATTGTTAGAATAACACCATCAAGTGATGAGTATGAGATGTTGTGGGAACCTCATGGTAGTTCTGTCTTCAACTTCCTCAGAGAGGTCTTATAGTGCCCTCTGGTGCTAAATTGTATTTGAATTTCCAAGTAGTTATGCGCAAAACTCCCCCAAGAAAAACAAACAAACAAACAAACAAATAAACAAACATCACTCACAATATGTTAATTGGAAATTCTTATTCTAATTGAAACTATTCACTGTTCCCTGTTTTTGTTGTTGTTTTGTCTTTCTGAAATGCACAAGTGTAACATTTCTTTGTACCTGTTCCTTTTTTGCAGCACAGAGACATTTCTGACTGGAAAGCACGAGGTCACCCTCGGTTTTCTCATTCATCAGAAGAAATATAGACTTGCATATGATCGTCCTCGTCAATGATCCCGATGACTTGAGAGGGGTCATCTTCTGCAGGACACTCAATGATGTAGTCGAAACCACCTGAGAGATGTAAGTAGTCTGGTCCCAGGACTGTCACAATGGTAAAGCCTGGGTTTAATCTGAGAGAAACTATTGTAGCATATTGTAACGTTTATAACAAGGGCACATTTTCAGGCCACCCCTGAAATCTCAATGTGGCAGTTTGTGCAACACTCACAGTTTTTGTGAAAATGATACTGTTGAAGGTTATTCTCTGTTGAAACAGACACAGTATTTACTTAAGGAAATGTAACTGTTTTGATTAAATTAGTAAAAATGTTGGTGGTACCGATGTTCTAAATGAACATTTAATTGACAGATTCATTAACTGTTCTGTGTGAGTTACAGCCAAAAACAGATAAAAATAATTCAAACGTGTGTCTTTTAGAGATATATTAACCTGTTAACACACAACTGAACAGCAAACGTTTTAGATAACTGCCTTGTTTTGACTTTTTATATACTGAAGTAGACCTTGAAGATGAAGTGTTTAGAGTCTGCAAGTTTTACTGCAGCTGACACTTTTCATACAGCAGGAAATACCACCCTCCAGTGAGTAAAGTCTAGTACTGCATCAAAGTGATCTCAGCTCTTGTAATAGTTTGACTTTTCACTCAGATAACGTGGATTTGAAAAAAAAAAAAAGTATATATATCAGACTCAAGTTTTTAGTAAAGATTGGAATCTTATTTAAATGTTGTTCTCCAAACACTGTCTGATTGCATGAGAATGAGAATGATGAAAGCCATGTTTCTTTGAAAATAACATCTTTAAACAGTCAAGTCAGACTCATTTAAATAACTTGTAGCCTTTTAAAACAATCCTACTGCTGTAAGTAGATATGTGCACATTTGTTTTTTGATTGTATTTGCACATTGTGCTCAAACATTTTGTCCAATTAGTCACCTTTAACAGCAAATAAGGCATGTTTAAGTAAAAAGCACTCTAGTGTCTATAAGAATATCCTGTTCTAGATATCCTTGTTGTCACCATTTTGCAACATTGACTCAGTGTGGAGGTTTTTCACAAAAGGTCATAAACACTTTTTCCACCACTGTGTCATCTGACGCAAACAGACAGTCCAAATACTCTTAAGATGTATTTAAGCCAGTAGAAGTGAAATTGATGTAAAAACCTGTTGTTGTTCGTAAAATAGAAAAACATGTATGGTCACTTCTAATAGCAAAGATTGCAAAAACTTGATATTTTGCTGGTAGTGTGGAACATCTGTGCTTTGCCCTGCCTCACCACTAGAGAGCACTGTAGTCCTGCTGTTGCCTCCAAACCCTCTTGGACACAGTAGATCTCACAGTTATGTCACACTTAACAGTTTTAAAGCCTACAAACATATAAATCACTTTCACAGTATCAGTCTCAACATTAAAATGTTCTGTTATGCTGTTAGAGCCATACATTCACAATTACACTGATCATTCGCAGATGGACAAAGACTGAATCATGATCAGTCAATAGGACTTTCAAACATCAATAGAAAGCACATTAAGTTAACTTGAGTACAATTTTGAGGTACAATATATTTGACTATGTACACTACAGTTGCTTAATAACTGTAGTTTCTAGTTACTTTGCAAACTTTAGCTATTAATCTGAAAAATGGTCTAAAGAACTTATTATGTGTTATAATTTATTAAGTTACACATTTGTGTGAAGTAGTTAATAACAGCAATAATAAGACAATTGTCCTATATATAATAGTCTAAATGATGGGTGCTTTTAGTGGTAGAAGTACATTTTGATGATAATTCTTCTATATTTAATTAAAAGTTTTCATTTAACACTTTTTCTTGTTTCTTTCCTCCACAATGTATTGTTGCTACTTTCACTGAATTAAATGACCTAAAGTGTGTTGCCATTTTAAAGTGAATTCAGCCAGTTTCAACTCAAAACTGATTGTTTTATCTGCTCGCTAATGTGTGTAGTTTTGTTGGAAACTTTTAGAGAGGGCAGAAAAGGATAAAACACACATTTCATTCAGTGCCATTAATTATTAAACTTATTGACTGATCAGCCTTCTGGGCGCATTTGTTTGTATTTGCAGTTCTGTCAGTAAGTAAATGTGCGTTCTCAAGCAGGTCTGCTCTGCAAATGAGATCCTTGACTCCAAAAGGACTTACCTGGATAAATAACACCTTTAAAACACCCATAAAGC